AATCTCTTACTGGGCCTAATTTGTAAAGTAAACTTTATCCTAGTTACATGTGTATAGGAGAAAACAGTACATGTAGGGTCCAGTACTAGCCAAGGTTTCAGGCATCCACTAGGGGTCCTGGAATGTATTCCCCAAGGCGAAGGGGGTACTACTGTATATTGATAGTGGTCTGAACAACAGATTTTGTTTTTTTTTAAGATTTTGTTTATTTATTTGACAGAGAGAGAGATAGAGAGGGAACACAAGCAGGGGGAGTGGGAGAGGGAGAAGCAGGCTTCCCATGGAGCAGGGAGCCCGATGCGGGGCTCGATCCCAGGACCCTGGGATCATGACCTGAGCCGAAGGCAGACGCCCAATGACTGAGCCACCCAGGCGCCCCTAAATGAGATTTATAAGGGCAAGCCAAGAGGCTCTCTTCTTCGCCTTGACTTACTCAACATAAAGCTATGATGAACCCCAAAATCTTGCTTATCAGATCTATAGATGATGGGAAACATTATTTATTTCAAGAGATGGTAATGAGGATTAAAATTTGGGTCAAAGCCAAGGTATAACTTATTGGTTATAAAGAATTGCAATTTGATTTTTAAAAGAATCAACTGTACTTGGCATGAGTGGGTTAATATGTAAAAAAATCTAGGAATGTTTAATGCTTACTTTGGGGCGCCTGGGTGGCTCAGTTGGTTAAGCGACTGCCTCCGGCTCAGGTCATGATCCTGGAGTCCAGGGATCAAGTCCCGCATCGGGCTCCCTGCTCGGCCAGGAGTCTGCTTCTCCCTCTGACCCTCCCCCCTCTCATGTGCTCTCTCTCTCTCATTCTTTCTCTCAAATAAATAAATAAAATCTTTAAAAAAAATAATAATGCTTACTTTGAATCAAGCTGATGATAAAATTGCTTTAAAAATGTTACCGTGGGCAGTATTAATAAAAATATTTGCTCTGATTTTGGGAGATAATAGTTTCACTGGACTCTTAGAAATAATCCATGTTCAGGGTGCCTGGGTGGCTCAGTTGGTTGAGCGTCCAACTTTTGATTTTGGCTCAGGTCATGCTATCGGGTTCCTGGGATCGAATCCTAGGTAAGGCTCTGCACTCAGCTGGTAATCTGCTTGAGATTCTCTCTCTCCTTCTCCCTCTGTCCCTCCTCTCTCTCAAATAATTAAAAAGGATTTATTTATTTATTTATTTATTTGAGAGAGAGAGAGGGAGAGAGAGTGTGCATGGCAGGGGGGGGCAGAGGGAGAAAGAAACTTAAGCAGAGTCTGCTCTGTCTGAGCCCAGAGCCCAACATGGGGCTCAATCCCACGACCCCGAGATCACGACCTGAGCTGAAACCAAGAGCTGGACGCCCGACCGACTGCATCACTCAGGTGCTCCAAAAAAATAAATCTTAAAAAAAAAAAAAATCCGTGTTCATTTTAGGAAAACGATGATCAAAACCAAAAAACCCTATAACCCCACCACTCAGATAATATACACACATACATGGTACATGTACTTTTTTTTAAAGATTTTATTTATTTATTTGAGAGAGAGAGAATGAGAGAGCACATGAGAGGGAGGAGGGTCAGAGGGAGAAGCAGACTCCCTGCTGAGCAGGGAGTCCAATGCTAGACTCGATACCAGGACTCTAGGATCATGACCTGAGCCAAAGGCAGTCGCTTAACCAACTGAGCCACCTAGGCGCCCCATGGTACATGTACTTTTATAGAACTTGTGGTGGTTTTCCTTTTTGCTTAAATTATCTTTGTGGCAGCAGATGTATATCTAAAGCCTTGGATCCTTAGATTGTGCTGAGGTTTTTTTTTGTTTTTGTTTTTTAAGTTTTTATTTTAATTCCAGTTAGTTAACAGTGTTATATTAGTTTCAGGTGTATAATATAGTGATTCAGCACTTCCATACCACACTGGGTGCTGATCACAATAAGTGTCCTTCTTAATCCCCATCACCTATTTAACCCATCCCCCCACCCACTTCCCCTCTGGTAACCATGTTTGTTCTCTATAATTTAAAGAGTCTATTTCTTGGTTTGTCTCTCTTTTTTCCCCCCCTTTGCTCGTTTGTTTTGTTTCTTAAATTCCACACATGATTGAAATCATATGGTATTTGTTTTTCTCTGATTTATTTCACTTAGCATTATACACTCTAGTTCTATCTATGTCTTTGCAAATGGCAAGATTTCATTCTTTTTTATGGCTGAATAATATCCCATTTTATATATATATATATCATATATATTACATCTTTATCCATTCATCACTTGATAGACACTTGGGCTGCTTCCATACCTTGACTATTGCAAATAATATGCTATAAACATCAGGGTCCATGTGTCCCTTCAAATCAGTATTTTTGTATTCTTTGGGTAAATACCCAGTAGTGCGATTGCCAGATCGTGGGGTAGTTCTATTTTTAAATTTTTGAGAAACTTCCATGTTTTCCAGAGTGGCTCACCAGTTTGCATGGCCACCAACAGTGCAATAGGGTTCCTTTTCTCCACAACTTCACCAACACCTGTTGTTTCTCGGGTTGTTGATTTTAGCCATTCTAACAAGTGTGAGGTGATAGCTCATTCTATCTTCCCTGTGTTAAAAGCTCCTTGCTTAGTGGTGATTATCAGCTGCCAGAAATTATAGTCACAGACCTTCAGAGCCAGAAGTGCAGTTTCATCAGTATCACGTGGGAACTTGTTACAACTATAAATTGGGAAAGACCAACTGGATCAGAAACTCTGGGGGTGGGAACTAGCAATTTTGTGTTTTAATAAGTCCTCCAAGGTGATTCCAGTCCACACTGAAATTTAAGAACTGACCTGAGTTAAACCCTTTGAGTTTTTCAGATAGAGAAGGTCCAAAGAGGTTGTCACAAGTCAATTTAGGAAAGCACCAGAATCATCAGGCAGTGATTCCTAGGATGACCATCATGCTTCGGAGATCTGTTTACTGGGCTAACTGCTAAACAGTATTTGAAAGAATGCTAGGTGGAAATAAGTGTAATGGGGGAAGAGTCTGTTTACCACTTAACTCACCTGGTGGGCTTGTTACAGTTCAACAGTAGCCTTTTAATTCCCTGAAGTTTAGTCCGAAAGAAAAGTTTCATCTAATTTGTTTTATTCACTTGATTATTCATATGTATCTTATTCCCTGAAGCAAGTTTATATATCATTTAAGTAACTACCCCCGGTTTTGTCACTACCCTCTAAGGAATCTCTAGTGTAATCCTACAGCTTTCATTTTTAACAAGCTCCTTACACTTAAGTTTGAGAACCACTAATATAGATGTTTGAAATTAAGAAAAAAAGCAGATGGACTAGATTAACATTTTCAATATATTTTTTTAAGATTTTATTTATTTATTTGACAGAGAGACAGCGAGAGAGGGAACACAAGCAGGGGCAGAGGGAGAGGGAGAAGCAGGCTTCCTGCTGATGCAGGGCTTGATCCCAGGACTCTGGGATCATGACCTGAGCCGAAGGCAGAAGCTTAACGACTGAGCCACCCAGGTGCCCCATTTTCAATATTCTTTAATTTGTGTTCCACATTGAAAATTCCAAATAATTTGCTAATGTGTTTATCATACAGCCAATATAACAACACCAGAGATTGCTCCAGAAATTTGTAATGGCATAACATTCTAATGATTTTTTTTTAAAGATTTTATTTATTTGACAGGGAGAGACGGAACACAAGCAGGGGGAATGGGAGAGGGAGAAGCAGGTTTCCCTGCTGAGCAGGGAGCCGGATGCGGGGCTCATCCCAGGATCCTGGGATCATGACCTGAGCCCAAGGCAGACGCTTAACGACTGAGCCACCCAGGCGCCCCTTCAAATGATTTTTTGAAAAAGTATAATATAGGTTTTTCATTATCTGGGGAAGAAAAAGTTTGGGGGGAGATCACTGTAGGAGGGCCAAGACATCACAAAACCAGGAACAAGAGTTTAAATCATGCATTCTGTTCTGAACTACAAATGTAGTCAACCCTGACTTTGCATGGCATAAATTAAGGTCACGGACAACTCAGCAGTTGTCTGAAACTTTAAGATTACATTGTGTGGAGTAGTCAAGATTTAGGAAAACAGATACAGTATCTGGGAACAAGAACAGAATAACTGCAAAATCAAAATGGTCTACCTTGAATTTTTGTAGCATCTTAACATTTTTCAAAGTACTTTCACATAAACTTTTATTTTATCCATGTAACAACGCTGTGAGGAGGGAAATTAGCATCAGCAAAACCGTTTTCGAAACTTTAAATACTGGATCTAGGAAGAAAAAAAGGCGAGGAAGCTGACAGAACCAAAGAAATGACAGAAAACGATCTCATTTGAGCAAGCACAAAAAGCTGAGGGCCAAAGGACGGAGAATTGAGCGCAGAACTAAGACTAACCTGGCGGGTGGGCAACTGCTTTAGCGGGCAAATAAGTGCAAAAAATCCCGGGTGCGGGAAATTTGGGATTAGGAAACTTGAATTTACTTATCTGTACCAAAGAGAATGGATGAGGTTAAAGAAAAGAAAAATGGAAAGCAAGGAGGCACTTAAAGCTGCACGGAAGTTCTGTGGGCTCCTACTCTACAGTCCAATGACCACGGGGTTCGGCCTCAGGTTGAGAATAACGCAGAGGGGAGTCGCACAGGACTCAGGCGGGAAGACAGCCGAGCCGGGCAGCGCGTTCACTCGGACCAACAAAGGCCGCCGGGGACACTTCCCGAGCCACGCAACTTGCGGGGGCCGAAGGGTTAACGGCGCGCACGACTCCCGCGCGCTTCCCGGCCCCCCCCTCCCGCCGTCGCTAGGAAACGACGAGAGTGGGGGAGGGGCGGGCGGCGTGGCCGAGGGTGGGAATCTTTTTCGGGCGTCCGGGGGCGGAGGGAGGGGAGCGCGCGTGCGCGCGCCCGGCCGTCCGTCGCCGCGGTGACCGTCCTCGGAGTCCATCGGCTCGCGCCCCGCCCCCGTTCTGCTGCCCCCTCCCCTGTGGCGCGCAGAGGGTGTTTCTCGCTCCTCCCGAGTTGCCGCCGCCGCCGCCGCCGCCGTCGCCGCTGCTCCTCCTCTCCCAGTCTTGGGTTTCCCAGGCGCTGCTGCCGCCGCTACCTCTGCGGTCTGTCTGAGGAGGAGGAGGATGTGAAGATGGCGGAGCTGCAGATGCTGCTGGAGGAGGAAATCCCGGGGGGCCGCCGGGCCCTCTTCGACAGTTACACGAATCTGGAACGGGTGGCAGATTACTGCGAGAACAACTACATCCAGGTGCGAAGCATGTGCCGGCCTGGGCGCTTTGGGCCTCTGGCTGGTGGACGCCGCATGGGGTATCCCCGGGCCGGGGGCCGCGCGCCTGGGGGCGTAGGGCTCGCGGGGCCGAGGCCGCGGCGGGGACCCAGCCCAGCTAAGCCTCCGAGGGCGAGGGGTTGGGGGAGTAGAGTGGGAGCTTTTGGGGCTGGTGAATTGGTGAGAAACCTGCGGCTGGAGGAAACTGTAGCTTTAAAGCATTTTTTAAAAAGCCATGAATCAGTCCTCGGTGCGGTGTGTGTGTGTGTGTGTGTGTGTGTGTGTGTGTGTGTTGTGTCCCCGCCTCTTCGCTTCTCCCCTCGGCCGCCCCCACACTCGGTACCCGTCAGTGTTCTGGATGGCGGAGGAGGCGGAGAGTGGCTTTTTCTATTTGACAGAATCCTCCCCCATATGGCAGGGGTGTGGGGGGATTGATGGATCACCCCCATCCCCCAAGCTCTGGAGGATTTTTAAGGGGCTATGTTGCTGCAAAGTAAAGTGCCTTAGTTTTATATTCATATAAATGCCTCAAGAGACTGGTAATTTTGCTTATTTTTTAGTTTCTAACCGGGGATACAGTAGAAGAGCGGTTGTCTCTTTTTGGAAGTTATTGCCATTTTCCTCCCTGTGGAGAATGAGAAACTGCATGATAATGAGCACCCCCCCATTCCCGTTAGAATAGTTAATTTTCCTGTGGGAAAAAGAATTGTGAGTATTTTTCGGCAGGGATTAGGAAATGATCCTCATGGTTTAATTTTTCCCGAGATGGTTGGTTTGGCACGGAGACTCATAGTGGTAACGTTGTGTGTATGTATATGGAGGTGGGGTATATTGGGTGAGATGAGATCCAGCTGCGCCTGCATGAAGCAAAAGATTCTGTGGATTAAAAAAAAATCCTTAAAAATTATCTGAAAGGATAGGTTAAAACTGCAAATTCAGCATCTTTTGTTTTCCCTATGGCTTATTCTGAATCACAGGTTCTACCTCCATTTTTTTCCCTTCTCATTTAAATTCTCTTGGGATAAAGGTGGAAATGGAAGAAGTATGTTAAATTGTTCTTTCACTATGGTCTTTTTCTTTTTTTTTTTTTCCTCCCTTACTCCCACTTCCATCTCTCCAGGCATCCTTCTTAGTATCAGCTATGTTGGGAAGCATTCTCCAGTCTTATATAAACTAAAAAAAAAAAAAAAAAGGTGTTAGAATTTATAGGCTCATAAATTTTGTAAGGATTGCATAGTTGATTAAGGATGTTATTGTGAGATTTTACTTGATTGGATATATACTGAACTCTGTATTATCTTGTAGGGACTATTTGTATTGGGGAAGGAACCAGACCTAATCCAAGGCTTTTCCCTCCAAAGAGGCAGTTGAAAGTATGGCTAATAGGAACAGAAAAAATGTGTCTTGGGTCAAAGATTCATACAAAAAATACAGTGGTCCATATTTGGAGGGTGCTTTGCTAATAGTGAGTGGAATAGGAAAGAGTCAAATGTTTAGTTGCTCAATTTTCAACTGATCATTATTCAAAAGTCTATAGCCTGGCACAGTGTAAAGGGTTGATGATACACACCTAATGTCTACAGAATTTCATAGTGTAGTTAATAGGAGAGGCTGATCTGTGAACAAATGAATAATGTAGTGTGTCAGTTTATACTCTGTAAGGGACTGAAGGTGGGAAGAAGGACTGGAGGAAGCTGCGCTATTCTCAGGGAATTCACAGTCTGTAGGAGAGGCAAATCTAAAGGACTGAGTGGTAATTCCATTGCCTCCTGCAACGTATTATGGGATTATAGGTCAGAAGAGACATTGAGAGTGGAAAAGTGACTTCGTAGCGGTTATTACCAGGAGTAAAAAATGAGAAACGGATTTGTCTCTCTTTAGAAAATAATTTTTATTGTGATTTGAAGGTATAGTTTTTCTTAGATTACAATTGATACATAAAGGTAAAGTATATGGATTAATAAAGCTGAGAGGTTAAAGGGGTTAGAGATTGTCCTCTTTTTAAATATTTTATACATTTCTTCTAGTTGAGAGGAGAAGAATATTACTGCCACCATTATCTGTTTGTTTTAGCAATAGGATTAAAAATTTAGTGTGGTGGCATTTTAAAATTCATAGTATAGATATTTAAAGCGATGGATTTAAAAATATTTTTCCAATTTAGCATCTAAAATAGATTTTACACTTTAGATTTTACCGCCTCGGTTATCATCTGTTTCATGATTCAGTGGGTATATTATTTGTGTTTTTCTCTTCCCAGATGACAGCTCTTTGCATGATTTGTTTGTAGTAAAGTTGATAAACAGAACATGCTGATTGTAGATTTCTGCTGACCCAGCTGTACATTTGACCCAACTGGCTCTTTGTGACCAGAGAACTGACCAGCAGCGGTTTTGATGCTGCCTCTTACCCTGCAAAGTTAATTGGTTGTCAGTTTACCCTTGTTGTAACATCATGCCCTAACCACTAGCTCAAGTTAACCAACCTAACATTCATTTTATTTTGTGGAAATGTAATTTTTGCCAGTAAAGGAGAAAAAGATAAATCTGTTGATTATATGTAACAAAGGGTAAGGTTCTTTGTTCAGTGTTCTTAACTAGCTGGTTTTAACTATAGGAATATCCAAATAATTACGTTAAATAAGAATATTCTAAATGTGGATTATATTTAGTGTGGATATTGAGCAAAGGAAGGAAAAATGATTGTGCTGTCCTTCTGGAAACTACTGTGTTTAAATTGTTTCTAATAAAAACATCCTTCAGATATATTACTGGCATTAAGAGTGACTAGGTATTGGGTTGCCTGGGTGGCTCAGTTGTTAAGCGTCTGCCTTTGGCTCAGGTCGTGATCCCAGGGCCCTGGGATTGAGCCTCGCATCCGGCTCCCTGCTCCGCGGGAAGCCTGCTTCTCCCTCTCCCACTCCCCCTGCTTGTGTTCCCTCTCTCACTGTGTCTCTCTCTGTCAAATAAATAAAATCTTTAAAAAAAAAAAAAAGTGATTAGGTATTGCCTGTGTTAACACACACACAAAATCTACAGGTACAGCAGTGTTGTAAGTAGTAGTTTTCCAGGTTACTAATGCAGCTAACGTGAAAAATTTAAAAATAATTTTTAGTAAAAATTTAGATGGTTTTATTATTTCAACCTCCAGAGTGATAGTAAAAGTTTTTTTTTCCTAAAATGTGATGATAAAAAGTTACAACTAACATTTGCTGATATTTACCTGATTGATTTTATTTCTTCTCTGTAAAAAGGCCTTAGTAATTGTTAAGGGTTTTTTAAGATACGTGTAAGACCTGTGTTTCTTTTTTCATTCATTAATATAAACATTGATACATTTATTAATATGAACATTGATACCTAACCTAAGAAGTATCCAGAAATTTTAAACAGTATTTTGATTGACTTGGAATCTACCTTTTTACAAATAGAAGAATTTTATGATAATATGAGTTGCTTTAATGTTTTGGTAGATGAAATAAATTTATAGTTGTTACTTTCTAGAGTAAATCTGAAAAACTAACTTTTTAAAGAAAATATTTTATTTATTTATTTGTCAGAGAGAGAGCAAGCACAAGCAGGGGGAGCGGCAGGCAGAGGGAGAAGCAGGCTCCCTGCTGAGCAAGGAGCCCAGTGTGGGACTTGATCACAGGACCCTGGGACAATGACCTGAGCCAAAGGTAGATACTTAAACAACTGAGCCATCCAGGCATCCAAAAACTAACATACTTAGTTACATTTTTCTTTTTTTTAAAAGATTTATTTGAGAGAGAGAGAAAGACCATATATGCGCCAACACATGAGTGGGGTGGGGGCAGAGGGAGAGGGAGACAAGCAGACTCCTCCCTGAGTGGAGAGTCCCACTTGGGGCTTGATCCTAAGATTCTGAGGTCATGACCTGAGCTGCAAATGAGAGTCGGACACTTGACTGAGCCACTTAGGTGCCCCTACCTTTTTTCCCTTTGTCAGATAAAATAGTTACTGCTTTTTGTGAGTGATAATTCACATTAGATAAATAGTAAAATCGCATTGTCCATGGTTTAGAGTAAGAGCAAAATCATTCAGTAACAAGGATTTGCTCAGAAGAACAGAAATTCAAAATGTTTCTTAAGGGGAGCCTGGCTGCCTCAGTCTGTAAAGCATGCAACTCTTGAGTTCAAGGTCATGAGTTAAAGCCCCATGTTGGGCATAGAACTTACTTAAAGATAATAAAATAAAATATATAAAAATTTTTTCAAAAAATGTACCTTAAATTTTATCTGAAATATATATATTTTTGCTTTTGAATAATAGGACAGATGTCATTACTGGTTTCCCTTTTTTGTCTTTATCAACAAGGATACTCCCAGAATTCATTAAAAATTGCAGGAAGGAGCTAATAAGAATCATGGAGCTAGGGCGCCTGGGTGGCTCAGTTGGTTAAGTGACTGCCTTTGGCTCAGGTCATGATCCTGGAGTCCTGGGATGGAGCCCCGCATCGGGCTCCCTGCTCAGCAGGGAGTCTGCTTCTCCCTCTGACCCTCCCCCCTCTCATGCTCTCTCTCTCTCTCTCTCATTCTTTCTCTCAAATAAATAAATAAAATCTTTAAAAAAAAATCATGGAGCTAACAGAATCATGGCTTGTTACCAGATTCATAAAAAAAGTCATTACTAAAACAATGTAAAGGTTTAAAATTCTTATTTAATAAAAACTATTTGAATACATCCTCACTGTTGAAAATTATTAGGAAAAATTATTAAGGAAGAAACTTAAAATTGCCCAGTCATTTTGAATATACATTTGGTATTTATACTTTTAAATATTTTTGCTATACACCACTATATATCAAAAATGGGTTCATGTTGTTTATTACCTCTATACCTTGCTTTAAAAAGAAACTTTATTACCATTATTATTTTTTTAAAAGATTTTATTTTTAAGTAATCTCCCCACCCAATGTGGGGCTCTACTTAAAACCTGGAGATCAAGAGTCCACTGAGCCA